GAAGCAGAAGCAGAAGCAGAAGCAGAAGCAGAAGCAGAAGCAGAAGCAGAAGCAGAAGCAGAAGCAGAAGCAGAAGCAGAAGCAGAAGCAGAAGCAGAAGAAGAAGAAGAAGAAGAAGAAGAAGGATCTTGTACACACATACTAGGTAACTTCATGGCATTAGCTTCGGCCTGTGCTCACTCATTCTTCAGTCACTCATTAACTTGAGCTTGTACTCACCCTTCACTCAGTCCCTCTTGACTCGAGCTTGTACTCACTCACCATCAACTACTCCTCACTGACTTCAGCTTATACTCACTCACTCTTCACTGACTCCTTATCGACTTCAACTTAGCTCACCCACTCTTACTGCAGGAACCCCCACAGGTTGTTCAGACTCTCGCTCAGACATGGATGCGCAAAGATGGCGTTCTCCAGCTCGTCGTATGTCAGGCCTCCGATCTGCGAGTTCGTCACGTTAGCACAATTTCTAGACGTTGCTTGCATGCTTGTAAGGTTGTAAGCAGGACGCTGGTGCTGGGTCACTCACCATGGCCATCTGCACGACGCTCATGATCTCGCCGCCCTCGACGCCCAAACATGCAAACCCCAAGATCTCCTTGGTGTCGGCGTCGACCACCGCCTTCATAAACCCGTTGGTCTCGTCCATCTCCAGCGCCCGCGCCACATACGCCATGGGCATCTTTGCGACCTTGACGTTCCGAGGCGGAGTCAGCGCACGAGCCTCCTTCTCTGTCATCCCGACACGCCCGAGCTGCGGGTCGATAAAGGTCGTGTACGGGACCAAACGGCCCTGGACGGACGCGCGCTCGCCACTCCGCGCGTGCGTGATCAGATTACGCCGCAACAGGCGCATGTCGTCGTAGCTGACGTGCGTCTGCTGCATACCGCCCTTGATGTCGCCGAGCGCGTAGACGCCCGGCGCGGACGTGGCGAGGTGCTCATCCACCTTGATAAAGCCGTGCCTGTCGAGCTCGACGCCTGCGCTCTCGAGGCCCAAATCTGCGGTGTTGGGTGTCCGCCCCGCCGCGGCGAGCACATGGCTGCAGAGTATGGATTTCGGATTGCCCTCGCTCTGCGTCACGGAGACGACGATCTGGCCTAGCGTGACGTTGGAGACCTCGTTCGTCGTGGCGCCCAGGTACACGTCGATGCCGGCGTCGACGAAAATGCGGCGCACCTCGGCCGCCACGTCGGCGTCCTCCCGCGGCAGTAGCTGCGCCGCCCGCTGCACGAGACTGACCTTTGCGCCGAACCGTCTCATCATCTGCGCGAACTCGCACCCGATGACGCCGCCGCCGATGATGACAATGTGGCGCGGCACGTCGCCCAGTTCCATGATCGAGGTCGAGTCCAGCAGCCCTTCCGTGCGGCACGCGTTCTTGACGTCGAGCTTCGACGGCGAACACCCTGCGTTCACGAACACCATGTCCCCTGTTATCGTGAGGGTCGTGTCCACGCCGCTGCCACTGCCGCTGCCACTGCCACCGTTGCTCTCGTGACGTGGCAGCGGATCATTCAACAGCACCTCGACGGTCTTGGGACCCCGAAACGTGGCCTTGCCCATGATCAGATCGAGATTCTCCGTGGCCTTGATGCGCGTCTCGCTCCCCGCGCGGAAACTGTCGACGATGTCGCGTTTCCGCTTCCTCACCGTCTCCATGTTCAGCGTCAGGCTCGAGCGCTTGAACTGCACGCCGTACCCCTGCGCGCGGCACGCCAGGTGGGCGATCCGCGCGCTGGCCACCATGGTCTTGGTCGGCGTGCAGCCTTCGTTGACGCACGTGCCGCCTACATGCTTGGATTCGATCAGCGCCGTGCGCCGGCCGGCGTTGGCGAGCGCCTGGGCAAGGGGACCCCCGCCCTGGCCGGAGCCGATGATCACGGCTTCGTAATGGCTCGTTGTCGTGCTCATGGTGCGGGATATGCTCTGATGTAGTATACTTTGGATGCGCGGGACTAGAAGCCGAAGCTGCTGAGACGAGACGAGACGATATAGCATGCGAGAGAGAGGGAATGTAGATGTTCGTCTTTGTACCCTATGCGCGTGCGTGTAGGCGAGCCCCCGTACTGTATTCCAGTCGACAGCGAAGTCTTCGAAAGGCTCGCTGGACGGGCGGCGAGGCGGCGAGCTACAGAATCCTTACCTCGTACTTGTATCCTGCGACTCTACCTTATATACTCGTTCGCTTGTATGGCACAGCAAGGTCTTTGAACCTTTTGCTGCCTGAGCTCGCTATCTCGCTACGTTCTTTGGAACGGCCGAGTTCCTTTCCCCCATGCAGGACGCTTAGTCACCCGAGTTGATGTGTCATCCATCTGGCATCCACTCACCCAGTTCAGAAGCACTGGGCGGCATGGTCTTGTGTATGCTCTTCGGCGGCCTGGATCTGCCACGGTGGAAATAGAGGGGAGACACACCAGGCATGCGCATGCGAGTGTTGCAGCATAGACCAGCACGTTGCTACAGTACTTTTCGTTTGTTTGGCGACGACCCTAGCCCTCCTTCTCTTGTACATAACTAATTGCTACATCAGCCTGACAATTTGCCCAACGCTTGCCCAATACAGTATCCCTGGTCCAAATCACTATTCCTATACCAGTGCCAACGCCAAAGCAGGCTGTTGCCTGCCCTGATAGATCGAAGCCTGCGCCCTGAATGGCCTCAGCACCTTTAGGCCGTGTCGGCCTCGACGTAGTCCCCGTTCAGTCCATTCGTCTCGGCCATGTCGCTGTCCAGGATGTCCTCTTGAATGCCGGGGACACCGGTCTGCCCGGCAAGTTGGTCGGGCTGCTCTCGCCACAGGCCCTCGTGGTGAACTTTCAACGCTAGAACTGGTCAGTAACGGTACCCAGGCAGTGGGAGAGAGCAAAACTTACTGGTGGGGAAGGGATACCACGAACTCCAGTCCTCCAACATGAACACCTCAATACTACCCGGATTGGCCTTGGGATCGCTGCTCGTGGGGTTAGGAGCTGGGATGGTCTTCTTGAGTTGACCCTGCGGTCCTGGAGCTCGTCGGAGATTCTTGAGTTTGGCAAAGACTTTCAGCTGTGCCGCCATGGCCACTTCGACCATTGGTCGACCGAGACAGGAGTGAGCCGCGTAGCCGTGGTGGACGTAGAGGGATCGATCTCGGCTCGGATCGATCGTGCCAGGGTTGGGGAAGACCGTCTCATCCAGACCGGCAGTGATGAAGTCGACGTAGATCTGGTCGCCAGATTTGACCTTGACCTTCTGCCCGTTGTCAATAATGGTGGTGTCGATATTAGCTTTGCGGAGGAGTCCAAACGCGGCCGGCGCCAGACGATTGGCCTCGAGCGCATAGCCTTTCAGCTTTTCAAAGTCGGCTGGATCGTTGGACCAGGCACACCTTTGGATCTCCGGCCAATGCTCACTGTGTTCAGGAGACAGGTAGACGTCCAGCATCTGAGTAAAATGCTGGGCCTGCGTAGCAACAGCGGCAGCGGCAGTAGGGATGATAGTCGACACCACTACATCGACTGATTTGCCGCTTTCGAACAGCCGCTTCAGGAAGTGAACACCATAGTCTTCCAGAAGCTCGCCAGCAGTGCCTGTCGAGAAGAAGTCTCCGAGGCGAAGCATGCCGCCCACATTCACGGCTTCGCACACAATCTTGACCAGTTTCGAGAGCTGCTCGTTGGCAGTCTTCGCACCAGCACGTAGCTTGAACGAGCTGGCTGTGTCGAGATCCAAGAAGACGTAGGCGAACATAATGGACAGCGCGAGGTACAGCTGATCAACCTCGACCGCGATCGGGTTCAGATCTCCACGTTTCTTAAGTGGGAGATGGAACATGCGAGCAACGAAGATGGCGTGCGAAGGATTGCCCACATCCCTGCAAGCATCGAGTTGGTACCATTCCCCTCTGAGTCGCTCGGACCGCGCCACGACGAGCTGGGTGGTTAGGTCTTCGTAAAATTTCTGAACCTGGGCAAGCCCGTTAACAGGACAGTACATTGCGTTCTGGACTTCTTTACGTTGCGCCGCGTTGGCCTCAGTGTCTCCACTGAGCATGTAGTCGTGATGGGTGAGGTAGTATGTGTGAGGTGCCCACGGGACGGAGAAGCCACCCTGGTCCGCGAGGATGTCCGTAACCGCCTTCCAGGAACAAATCGACGTAGGCACTCCGATGTACGATGGCGGGTCGAAGTTGTAGTCGTGGTCCACGCCCAGCTTGGTCAAGATCTTGCGATTCTCTTCGGGCACTGTCAGGGGAAACATGGCGTAAACCGAGTTCCCGCGGTAGTAGAATGGCAAGGCTCGCATCAGTAAGATGTAGAAGCATCCTCCCTGGGCCACAGAGGGGTCGGACTTGACCTGGGACCAGCCCCAATTGGTCAAGTTTGCAGGGGTGTAGTCGACCGTGTAGAATCGATCTCCCCTGGTCAGCGCGACGGCATCGGCTAGAATAGTCCTAGAAATGGTATAACCGGGGCAGAGACCAGACCCAGGCTCCAAAGGATCCTTCGCGTCTTCAGCAACGATTCCCGGGTATAGTTCAACGTAGTCTGGGTGCTGATAGAGAGCCTTCAACGACCGCGCCACCTCCTCGTCCCTGGTAATATCTGAGAAACTCTTGTGGGGCTCGAGCTTGAAGAACTTCCTGAACTCGTTGAGCGTCGCCACGTTCCAGGCTCGTGCTTGCTGGATGCCCAGGACATCGATCAGCTTCATCACCAGTGGTACATTTCTCGGTCCGAACGCGCAGGCGACATCTTCGGTCGACTGGGTCAAGATGTCGATGAGATCTTCGTCCCGGAAGGCACCGCTCGCGGTTCTCTTGTACTTTCCTGAGTCAAGTTGCCATTTGGAAGGGTCTGATCCACGCTCGTCGAGCCACTGCTTCAGCCTTGGGAGCAACTCCCACTGAGTCACGGAAGCGACATCTCGGTCGGGGAACAACGACTGATACAGCTCGTTAGTCCACTTCTCGTCCTTGATACTGATCGCAGAGTGCCACCGGTACACCAAGTTGAATTCGACACTGACTTGATTGCCGACGCCCGACGGGACGCCGGCGCTGTCGAAAACGTCGGAGAAGTTCTTGCGCGGATCAAGTGTCCAGGTCGAGTTAGTACGGTTCAGGTTGAGGATGGTTCTGACATAGTCGTTGAGGATGATATTGACGTATAGCCCGCAAGTGACTAGTCGGGCCGTCTGAAAGAGGTCATTGTCCAGCTTCGCAAGACCAGCGGTGTCCTGTTCGCTCTTAGGGGCGCGGAATCGGCCTCCTTCGTTGATCTCCTTGAGCTGCATCGCTACATAGTTGTGGAACCGATTGAAGCAGATTACAATGGCGGATACCCCGGGAGGGAAGCCGAGAATCCGCTTCTCCGAGAAGGTGTCCGGTTTCAGCATACCGTCCTTGAACGTTCTTATCTGATTCTGTTCCTCCTGGCTGCTGCCGTACAGGGGAGCCAAGTCGAGATAAGACGACGTTTTGACCTTGCCGTACTCGGCATCATCCGTGTGGAAGCAGTCGTGGATGATTATCGTTGCAAGGTAGAACAGCATGCTAGAGATCTTATTCGGGTGCTCTCTAGGCTCTTCACCACGTGCGAAGATGGCATCGAAGATCACACCAGGGTCCGGAAGGACGCCCGGTTTCAGTGTCTGTGGGGTGACGGTCCTGGCATAATATGAGCCGGCTTTACCGAGATGGGGATACATGATATTGTTGTTGGAGCCATCTGCCGTACGAAATTTGTACTCGTCCCCCTGGTACGACAGTGGCGGATGCTCCAAGTTCTCCCAAAGCAATTTGATGAACTGGTCAGTCAGGTCGTCAAGAGACTTCGACCCGGGCGGTAACGAGGCCGCCAACTGTAGAATCTTCTCCATCTGTAATCAAGCAGAGTCAGAGGACATCGTAGACCTTCACCTGTTGGAATGGGTACCTGATATTGCCGGTCGTCCACAAGGCCGCCATCGAAGAGCGTGGTGTCGACCAGAGAATGGATCAGTCCCAGATTCTCTCCTATGCGAGGCGCTTGAGACGCAATGTCGGCAAGCACTCTTGCCAGAAACGGCTTCGACTGTACCGTCGCTCCGTTGATGACCGTGTTTGTCGGATCCGGGCCAGAGCCCGCAATGCTTTCGAAGAAGCTTTTGATGGTGCTGGTGATCTTGGACTCTGTATGGACAGAGTCCAGGTCGAACGGATGATCGCGCAAGCCGTCCATGGCGCCGGCAGAGGTCGAGGAGAGTTTCCTTTTCCGCGCCATAGTTCTGAATGTGTGTACCGGCCAGGCTATATAAGGAGCTCCACGTCAGGCGTCGAAGGAATGGCAGCCTGCAACCGGGTACAAAAGAACGAGGTAAGCGAAATGACAACTCGCAACGAGAAAAACCGCAGCGTCGTGAAGGCCTCCTGATGAACACGGCTCGGGCTGAGCGACGCAGCTGAGGCTCCCAAGCCCTGATGAAAGGCAGGCATGCTTGGGGGGCCGAGACCGCGTGGTTCGCAATAGTGGCCATCTGATTGGCGACAGGGACCATCTAACATTGGCTATCACATTCAGCCCATCTCGCCCCCTGCCAGCCCTGGCTCTTGGACTAACCTCGGCGCCGCCCGCTGGTGTCACATACTGGGTATGGTCAGAGACATCGAGTGGAGATTGGTCAGAAAGGACTGAGTGTCGACGAATGGGTGCTGGAGCAGTCAGCAAGGGTAAGCCGGAAGCAGCGGTACCAACGACCAGAATGGAGCTCCATGATGGCTGAACTGTGTCGGTGTTGCGGCGAGCTTGGGATAGTGGTGGTACTGGTGTACTCAGTAGAGAGCGACAAAAGGCAGAGAGGAGCCTGCGTTGCTGTGTCCAGGCACGTGCCTGGGAAGGAGGATTGATGACGATTGCAGGCGCCAGGCATCCTAACGCCTAAGGCGTCCG